GTCTGAACTAATGTGAAATTGTAAGAGCAATCATCAAAACAATAAAAGACAAGGATCAGACTTCAGCTCTTTGATGCTATTTACCTGTTAAACTACAATGTCTCAAGACCTTAAAGTAGTCATCGGATGTCCATTTTCCACAAGTTGATATGATTCTTTAGGGTGTTAATGAAAAGTCTATAATATGCTTTGGTTAAAAATTTCTCAGTGGTAGTGTAAAACAACGGCTTGATTTGAGAAAGTGGTAATGATTTTAGTAGATTAAAAAAAAAAAACACTGGGAGGATTTTTATCATTATAGGGTGGTTGTGTATACATACTGCCAACACACATTTCCGTTCAAACAACATGTAAAAGTGCATTTCGCATCCGATGACCCCTTTAACTTTCGATAAAGAGGTACCTGACAGGAAATAGTCTGTTTGAATAACCTGAAATATATGCAGTCTGTTACTATTAAATATGTTACACAAAGTAAATAAATACATCTTTTGAGGACCAGAAAGGATAACTGAAGGGCTGATCACTATATCACAGACTGGTAATATTCCTGGTGCAAAAATTATATTACTAATATATTCAATTTTGTCATGGTGAAGCACATTCTTTTTCTGCCTTTTAAGAGACCATAAGACATTGGTGGGTGATGGTTCAAAATCCCCCCAGTGCAGCCAATCAGTGTGTGCATGCTCATTCACAATTAAAAGGGTCATGAACAGCCTCTGTTTTATTTTGTACTGTTCTCTGAGGTCCACTTCTCAAGAGTTTTACATCAGAAAAACTAAATTTAGAAGTAATAAGCTATTCCTGTTTTAACCCTCCTCATCAGAACGCTCTGTTTGAATAGGCGTGGAGGATTGTAGACTCTGAAGTAAACGCCCACTGCTGTGATTGGGTAATAATTGTGTATGTTTGACAGCATACATTCCTCATAGATGGACGCACAGCACCGTCTTTTAGTTTCAATCTTTCTGACAATCCCACGGAAAATTGTTCCTAGTTTGTAAACAAATCCATAGTAAAATGAACAAAGAAAAAAGTTCTTACTGACACGGTCTGGATCGTCATTAAAAATAAAGGTTATTCACTTTTTCCTAACATTGGGATCAGAAGGAAGGCAACGCAAACACTGTTATTCCACAACTTGGCACTGCACAGCGTCTTGTTGTCTTTGGAGCATCTTTATCAGTTCGTTCACCTCTCGTTATTTACACTACATGCGTGAATCGGTGGGAGGGGCTAAACAGACTGCAATGTAGAAGCAGGTGTTGATCTTCGTCTGTGGAGGCGGTGCTTATCCACATTATTACATTATAGAGTAGAACATTCCACAAGCTGTTGTTTTGGCAGACTGGCTTCAATATAAGCTGTTTTCAGACTAAGGAGAAAGTTTTGAGTTTTGAAAACTTACAGGATGTTTTTATAGTACAGTGACCTCTCATATGTCAAAAGACCAAAGGAATTTTGGTTTCCTTTCACAAAATCCCTGTCCATGAATTACCTTTACAGGAATGTTGTGGGATCTTTGGACTCCCTTCTAAAGTTTGGCTGCAGTATATTGCATAAACACTAAAGAGACTAACTGGCCACGACTAACTAGTATGATGTCATATTGCTCAGGCCCCACCCACGACCGCTGACAGACTGTCCCGTATTAGCATATCTCCGCCCTCAGCCAGTTGTGCTCTGTCTGTCATTTTTTCTGCATTCAAGCAGCTGTAGCAACAACGACTCGTAAGCAATGCAGGAGTTTTGTAGTTGGATGTAAAAACCGTAAGAGTCTTTATTTTCTCCCGACACTCAAGCCACTGAAGATGCAGTGAATTGGTTTTGTTTTTGATGGTAATGTACCACCGAATACATGTCTGCACAAATCATTTTACTCCAGCTTTCTGAACGAGGGACAGTTCGAGGCAGATTTTGCTAAAATGTTCAAACTGAAGGATGGATCAGCTGCACCTCCAGAAGAAGCAAGTCCCACACTTTATATTTCTTATGATTTTATGCAAAACGCCTTTGCTCTTCCACGGAAGAGAGGGGCGGGGTAAGCAGCGCTCATTATCATTTAAAGGGACATGCCCCGAAACGGGTCGCTGTGAACAGAGCAGTTTTTGACAAGGTAAAAAGGGTGTTGTTTTACATGACCACTGAGGAATTTTAACCAAAGTATGTTGCAGATATTTCATGAAGACCCTAATGAATCATATCAACTTGTGGAAAATGGGCATCTGATGACCCCTTTAAAAAAATGACAGACATCGTAAATGAATGGGAAATACGAAAAAAATTTAATGGAAAAAATATCTCACAAAAATTGTATAAATATTGTGTAGTACTATAAAATCCCCCTAAAATTCTAAATAATAAAAAGAAAAAAAATAGAAAAAAAATTAGATTGATTTTCCTGGGGGGGGGGGGGGGGGGGGGGG